TTGAAGGAAAACTACCAAAGTTTTAAATGCTCTTTTTTTTTTTTTCCCCCCCCCCCCCCCCCCCCCCCCTTACCCCACTCAATTATCTAATGTTTTGTTCCCAAGACGTCTATGTCTGCGTAGGAGGCTATTGACCAAGGTTGTGTAAATACCCCGACACGACGTAAGTCAATTGATAAACATTGATTATCAATTGTCAATCAAATAAATAGCTATAATAAATAGCGATCCTACAGCAGTCGTGCGAAGCAGCACGTATTTTATTGCTGTCCTAACCGCTTCCAGGAGTTTCCCTTTCCCAGTCACGCGGCGAATTAAAATCTTGTCCCACAAACAACTAAGGGTCCCGGAAAAACTAAATGTACCTACATTAATTGGGCTGGCTTTGACTAAATTTCTAAATAGAAAACATACCCCAAGGTATGCTAGCCCAAACGTGACAAAACTTCAAGTTACACTTTTTTGTGCGATGAAGTTCTACATTAGTACATCAAGTAGTTTGCGATGACTTGTTCTGTGTCAAGTTAATTGTTATGCTTGTCTAGTCATTTGTTGTTGATACTCTATCAAGCGCAATCTTTAAGTGACAAGGATGAAAAGTCTTTCAGCGCTTTGCTATTCGCATACAAGACCGGATGCAGCCGTTCTTAGTAGTGTCGGCTGCTGAGGAGACTAGGATGCAGGAGGGTACTCTTTTTCTGGCCTCTTCCCAATAATTATGAGCCAGGAAAAGCGTTATTTTTTAAATGGCTATAAATCGAACGTGAAAACTGTGCTTTTTAAATCTTTTTGTAGTCGTGATCGTGTACATACATCGGGAGTAACTATCGAAAACACCGCACTTCATGAGCGGTCCTATTTATGTTTGATTGGATACGCGGATACGGAGAGTAATGGAATATTAACCTTTAAAGAACGAGGCATATGTTGAAGTGGATATGCAGTGAAGAAGACCACCCCTCCCCCCGTAGATATGAAGGCATATGCGGAATATTAACTTTAAAAGAACGAGGCATATGTTGGAGTGTATACGCGGATACGCAGTGAAGAACACCACCCCTCCCCCTATAGATATGAAAGTATATGTTGAAGTGGATACGCGGATACGCCCTATAAAGAAGACCACCCCTCCCATATAGATATGAAGATATATGTTGAAGTGGCTACACGGTACGTGGATACGCAGTGAAGACTGAAAACACTCCCCCTCCCCTATGATTACTTTTTTCACTGCGTATCCGCGTATCCAAACATTTAAAGGAATAGTGTTAAGCGGACGGGGGGGCGGGGGGGTTGACGTACCAATAGTGTACCGCGGATTGAAACTTTAGATTGTAAAAGATCGGAAATCGATTACGATTTATTGTTAACCGCGTGCACAGGACCAATTTAAAACTCGTACTCGAACTCTTGAGGGCAAAAAAGCAGTTGGTTTTTCGGGATTCCTGTGTTGGAATTACTAACTCGCACTAGTCTTTCCAACCGTTAGCATCTGTCGTCGTCCAGGGAAACAAAATGGCGGTAAATAAGATGTGACAAACGTCCTCAAAAATAGCCTTTTTATGAACAAATTGTTAATTTAAATATCCTTCTCAGTACATTAGTGACTATAAAGAGCTATAGGGCGTTCATATGGCTTCAACAAGCAGTTTACAGTCTGAAGGGAGCCATTCAGTGAGGTCGCCTACAGGAACCGACAGTCCATCTGTTGCAGGTTCTAGTCCTGATGGTTCTGTAACTTCTGTAAAATCCCCAACTTCTCCTAAACCACTGAATGGTGCTGCTGTCCCTGATGCTCCTTCAAAACAACCGCCAGCTAAAAGAAGCGAGGCGCCGAAGCGAAGAGGAAAAGGTAAATAAGCTTACAATTTAGTTAGAACATGTTTGTACACAATGGGATTCTTTTTCGTTTTCTTCTTTCCCACTTTACACGCGAGGAATATTGTTCTAAAAATTCTGAGAAAATATCTTATTAACACTGAAGGTGTAACACGTTTATAAGCTTATTTGAATTTATTTTACTCGTATATACAAAGAAACTAGTTCATATACTTACTATTTATTTAGCCTTCCTATTCCTATCAGTGATAGCCCAATATATAGAGAACAATATATAGAGAACAAGAAGGCCAAATCCTAATACATTTATTTGATAATGATAATAATGTATTTCTTGAAAAAAACGTATAACTACTGAGTCTCGATGCTTTTTACAGTTTTCCGAGGTTTTGCAGAAATTAGAAGGCTTTCCAAGTAGTACTTAATTTTTTAAAAAAGCCCAATTTTAGCTTATTGTGTATGCTGACACCAAGAAAGAGATTAGATCATATTGCTATAATAAGGCTATATTCAAGCACTCCTATCCAGATAAAGCCCATATTTGTAATACCACTATTATCATGTTGAAGTGTGACCTCACAGCATCTTGATGTACGTCTTGTTTGCCGGCTAGCAAATTTGATGGCCATCAATCAAAGAACTATAATGAAAAATATCATAGGCCAAATTAAAGAATTTAGAGGATTAAAATTGTTTGAAAGATCTCCTTTTTTTCAAATTTTAGTTCTGTGATAAATGATGTAGAAATGCTAGTCTGCAAACAAGACATCAAGGTTTTCAGGTTGCACTTCAATGATAATATTAGTAATTGGTTTACAAATTTAATTTTAATCGTTTGATAAATGTATATGCCATGATTTAAATTATGTTTTTCAGTTCCTGATCTCCCTGTGTTTGAGAGGCGAAACTGGTTAATCCATATGCATTATGTGAGGAAGGAGTTTGATAAGTGTAAGGTAAGTCTTACTCTAAATTTGAAACCAATGTATTTCAGGCTAAGGGAGGTTCATTATTTTTATCTACTGAGGAATTGATGAGAAATTAAATTTTCTGCCATTCCATTTTATATCTAATATATGATTTATTATAGACGATTTTTCTATTTTACTTTTTTTTTTGATCAAATTTTTCTAAGACAGTTCATTTTATTTCAGGCTAAGCGAGGTTCTTTTTTTTTCTACTGGGGAATGGATGACTATTGGGGGACTACATTTTCTTCCATTCCAATATCTAATAATGTGATTCATTATGCATAAGTTTTTTATTTTATATTTTTGGGGATCAAATAGACAGTTGCTCACTAATTGCTTAAGTATGAGCAGCAAAGTATTTCATTCATCTTAAATGCTTGTGCTTATGTCACTAAATCTCCCCATAGGACGTACACTCAGATTTAAATGCTTGTGCTTGTGCTAATACTGCCAAATAATAGTGACTACTCTGTAGACAAAAAGATAGGGTATTACATATATTACTGTGTATTGTGCTATCTTATCTGACCTCAAAAATAACCAAACTTAGTAAAAACAGTATAGTATTTGTATCATAATAAGTAAGTAAGTAATTATTAAGGAATATATTTATCTGTGTAGTCACTATAACAACAATAACAATAACAATTAAAAACCTTCACTTAATTATTTTTTATCCTTTATTTCAATCATACAATCAATTGCAAAATACTTCATAAAAGTAATCCATATTCTTTAGGTTCTAATCAAGGAACAGCTTTTTGAGACACAATACATGTGTGAATATGCTTTGTATGCTCAAGGTAATATAATATTAATTAGTTTAAATTCTTAATCTTTCAAGTGTCTTAATCTTAGTTACATTGGTGTCACGTGGTCGATTTGAAATGTATTTCTGGATAACATAACAGATGCTACGAAGGCAATTAAAAAAATCACAACTGCCTTGGTCTACTGGGAAGAGTAGTAATAAACTTTTACTTTTGCCTATATTATGTATTTTGAAAAATTATTATCAGCAAAATTACAGTATATTATAAATGACATTCTTAAGTGCAACAGTGCATTTAATAAATAACATTGGTCTAGATATCTTAATGCTCAAATATATATTAATTTTTTAGCCTTGATTCTTCGTCAAGAGGGTAAAATCCAGGAATCACTGGATTTGTTCCAACAAACAGTAAAAATTAACCCCTTTAATGCTGATAACCTTAAGCAAGTGGCAAGATCTCTGTAAGTACACTTATTATTATAAAACCTTATTCAAGCAGCTGTTCCAGGGTGACCCATTCTTCAAAATGGTCATCCATGTACTTGTATCTCAGGGTGACCCATCTTTTCAAGTTTGTCTAAGCTACCCAAGGATGTCCTATCTGTCCCTGGGTGTCTCAGCTGCACTGGGTTAATTGTCAGAGGTATCTCAGGGTGTTCCATCTGTCCCTGGGTGTCTTAGATGCACTGGGTTAATTGTCAGAGGTATCTCAAGGTGTCCCATCTGTCCCTGGGTGTCTTAGATGCACTGGGT